GATTGGGGATGGTGGTGGCAGGCAGAGTTCCCGGTGACCCGGTATTGTTATGGAAAGCTATTCCTCCAATCTGATTCTGGAGGTCCTACAATATGGCACCTTGGTTCCTCTGGCCTGCCTTCAGTGAGGCAATGCTCTGGTCCATCCTAGCAAAATTCGCCTGGATGGTAGTCATGAATGCCGCCAGAAGGTTTTATTAACTTGCTTACTTAATTATCTAGAGCTGGAGCTGCTGGTGGCTTGGCATACTGGCGCTGCGGCTGCTGAAATGATTGGCCATGTCTGGGCTGGTAAGGCTGCTGCTGCGGAAATGCACCCTGCCTGGCCTGGAAGGGCTGCGTTTACTGAAAACCATCTGCTGGTGCTGGGAAACCAGGTGGTTTAGTGGTGTTGCTGTTATTCCATGAGAAGTTGGGATGCTGGCGCCACCCTTCATTATATGTTCCACTGTAAGGATCGAGGCGTCGAGCATTGGCGATGAAGTCCAACTGCTCCTGGGGTGTAGAAGACTCCCGCATAGCATGGCAGTCTTCCACCAGATGGTTCAAGCTCTCACACCACTGACATTGAGCAACTGAAGACCCGGCCAGTCCTCTGCCCGGAATAAGACTGTTGGGTTGCTTCAATGTCTGGACCAACTCAGCCACCTCCTGCTCTAGCCCGGACCTGGCCTCCATGGCGTGCACTCCTCGGTCCCGGGAACTCATGCTTTTGGTGTTATTCCCCCAAGAGTTATCCCTGGTAGCCAGAGTGTTTATCATCTAATTTAGCTTGGGGGGGAGTCTTGGTGAGAATATCCCCTCTTGGGCATAGAGACTCGATCACCCTCTGGCTTTCTGGGGTCAGAACGCTGTAGAAATTCCCCACTGTGAATGCATCACTGAAGCCGGGATGGGGACACTGCCAGAAGAATCCCGAGTATTGCTCCCAAGCATCACGTAGGGACTCATCTGGTTCCTGGCGGAAATGAGTGATCTCCGGTGAATCTTTGTGGTCTTCGAGGCCGGATAATACTTGTGCGCAAATTTGTCGGCCAAGTCGTCCCACGATGTGATGATAGTGGGGGCTGGGTCTCTAACCACCTCTTCGCATGCCCCGCCAGAGAATGGAGGAAAAGGTGGAGACAGATCGCATCATCGGGTACACCATTCATATTGAATCCATTTGCCAGCTGCAGGAACCGAAAAAGGTGCACCCTTGCCTCCTCATCCTTCAAGCCATGGAACTGGATAGAAGATGTAATCAGTTGAATCCAGCATGGCTTGATCTCAAAGTTGTTCACTGGAATGGGCGGATGTCGGCGACCCGTGGAGTGTAGTAGTACTCCATTGTAGGAACTGATGCTTGTGTTGGAGGACGAGCCCCATCTGGCTGGGGGACTGGGTTGTTCCCCAGGATCTGATTCACTGGGGGAACCTGGAGAGGCATCCCCTGGGGCGGGTTTTGCGCACCGTCCATCTCATACTCCTCCTCAGAATTGCTGTTCAAGTGGCCGTCGATGCGCACTTCCTCCATAGCCAGTCTCGCTCGCTATTGTCTCCTTAGTTGGCGACAGATGCGTTCTAGCTCCGGATCTAACGGTAGTAAACCTCCTAACTGGCTACCAGTCATGCACTACCTGCACACAGCCAAACAAGCAAATCCGTGAAGGCACAAGCGGGAAAAAGCAAACAATCAATGAGGAAATGGAAATGCTAAAGTAACAGAAATCACGTTTCTTCAACAACCTAGTCGTCCCCAGCAACGGCGCCAAAGACTTGACACGCCTCTGGCGTCACACTAGAAAGTGGCCAAGTGTAACCACCTACTAATGCGTAGTATAGCGGGTTCAGTTCTAATTGTCAACTCGGGTCCTAGGTGTGATGACTACTCCGTGAAAGTCTTGTTATCTAGCGGTTCAAGTATAGTGAAGGTTTAGTTAAACTAACAAGAAAAGCAGTGAAAGTTGTGTTCAAGTTAAGAGAGGTCACCCAGATATGGTTCCCCTAGACTGCAGTTAATCCAGGTTGTAATTTACCAAGTTCAAGTCCAATTACAGTTATACTGCGGGAGGTTCTTAAACAGTCTGCAGTCTCGATTAAAGGTCTCCAGACCCTCTCAATCTGAGTCCCCAGCGGGTGACTAACCTCGACCGGAGTAAACAGATTGAGGCCCTAACGAACCGAACCTCCTATACCGAAGTAAATCTTGTACAGAATAGTGAATTGACTCCTCGACTAAAGTCGTCAATCCACTACCTTCTATCAACCTAGGGATATATTCTCTTTCTAGGTCAAAGCAGAAATAGCAGGAATTTGATCAGGATTCATGGCATTCAAGGAAACAAACCTCAATTGAATATAATCATATCACTGAATTCATACTTGGGTTCATACAATTAGACCTTACATACAAATCTAGGGTTCTTCATACCTAGGTGAATGAGAAAGTTACTCCACAGAGAGAGACGGGAAATCTAGCTCAGATGCGGAACCATACTGTGAAGGATGGGATTCTGCTTCTAGCAATCAATAAGCACTTCTCCAAGCTCAAGCCGGGATCCAATGGTGATGAAGATCGATCTAGGGCGCTTGAAGAATCAGGTTCGTCACTTTCTCTCTCTAGGTATAAGCTTTTTCTCTCTAAAACTCGAAACCCTTGCAAAATTGGCCTTCTTTCCCTTAAAACCCAGCTGTTCGCGATCCCCGGTTGTAATCCCCGGTCGGGTATTTCCAATGTCCGGCCGAGGATTTTGAAACGCAGCGCAGCACCAAAGGGGTTAATACCCGATCGAGGCCCAGAATACCCGATCAGGTATTTTTGCTCTCTAGCCGGGACCCCTCCTATTTCTCGACGTCCAAAAATGATTTTCCCCGGCCTCTCTTAGAGATTTACCCGGCCGGGTATTATTACTCATGGCTGGATATTTTACTCCTCCAGCACCCTTCTACTCCAACGTCTTCCTTTTGACCCCGAAACTTGTTTCCTCGCCTTCACGTCAACGCCAAGTCCTGAAATAAGACATAAACACACAACCTAGCGTGAAATCGGCTTAAAACACGAGAATCGACTCTCAAACGGCTCAAGAATCGGGGTATAAACATGTGTAATTATTGGTCTATCAAGCTTCTAAGTAGCCCTCTGATTTCTTTTCTTCGGAAGAGGAAGTCTATGTGGCTTTCCTATCAGACATATCTGATAGATGCTAACTTATCCTTTTAATGCTGATAAATCTTGTACCAGCTAATTCCTTTGCCTGATTCAACAACCGTTGAATGTGCAAATGACCAAATATTTTGTGCCAGAGTTCAAGAGACAATCTCTAAAACTGCCAGTTTGGAGATACGGGTGACCTCCTTCTTTCTGCTGGTTAGCCTTAAGAACAAACATTTTGTTTGTCTTTATTTGTGTCTGTAGCAACAAATATTTTTCATCATAAAACAACTTACAAGTTCCTTCCTTAATAAGAAAATAAATGCCCTTTTCCTATAGTTGACCCACAATCAGGAGATTAGTTCTTAGCTTAGGAAGATAAATACTTCTTGTAACACAAAAGCAACCTGATTCTTAAGAAAATTTGATAGCTCCTTTTTCCAATTACATCCAATATGAAATCATTACTAAGCCTTATACGAACCAGTTCATATCACCACTCATGTGATTGGTGCAACCAGAATCCAAAAATCACCATGCTTCATTGCTTTGCACCCCCTCTTTGCAGCTTTGCTATCCTCAACATAGGCCATCGACACACATCATCCTTCATAACTCCTCGAGATATGTCTAGAGAAGTAGTATAATATGCCTGATGATTTTCCCATCCTGGACATTCATACTTAAAATGACAAAGTTTATGGCATCTGAAACGTTCCACAGATTCTTTGTTCAAACATCTTCCTCCTCTTGCTCTATTCCTACAAGAGTAAGCATGTGTCTCAATATCCTTGACCACACCTTTCACCATACACCTTTCACCATACTCGTGGAAGGTTCTCAGAGCTCGATCTTGTTCTCCGTAATTCCTCTTATGAAACTTTAGCTCATGCAAAATTAAAAACTTTGAAGTGCATCAACAATTAATGACTCTATATCCTTAAATTCTTCGATCGACAAACCACAAAGTTAAACTTCTTAATTGAAGTTCTGAGAATCATTTTAACAATTTGAACATCGGTCAATTCCTCAACACAATTTCTCATGAAATTTACTATTACCATAACTCTACTAATGTCATCAGTTATGGTATCGCCTTCTCTCATCTCTAGAAGCTCAGAGTTACTTCCTAGAGCTTGCAATTGAGCCTTCTTCACTCTTGTGATCCCTGAAATCTCACCTTCATTAAATCTCAAGTTTCTTATAAGTCTTTTCTTTTTATGTGATGTCTTCCGAATAACCTTGTAAATGGAGATGAATAAATAGCTTTTAGCCTTCAAATCTTTGAGTTTTAGTTCATCGAGTCTCTTTGATCAAGTGCCCGACATCTCCTCTCCTTATCCTAACTCTATGAATCCATCATTCACCACTCCCCAATGTTATTTTGACTGAAGGAGATTTTCCATCACTAGACTCTATTTCATCAATATCCACATTAAACTTGGGTATACAAACATATATGTTTTCTCGCTCACCCTTTTATTGCTTTCATCCTCAAACGATACTCTCGTATTACCCAACTTCTCACTTCTGCAATTGATTGCAAAAAGAATCACTCACTGATACCTTGGTTACAACTTGTTAAAAAGCTCTGATACCAACATGAAAGCTCAAATGTATTGCAATATGACAATCTGCTCAATGATGGAGAATGTAGCAAAAATACGGGACTCTTAGCTGAAGCTCTGCTACTGCTGACTTATCTAACATGAGAATAAAACAACAGATACTCAAATGTAAAATGTCACGCACAGACCGGGGTTAATTGACAATCAAGGCTGTCAACCCGCGGGTTGACCCGGAACCAGTCGAGTTAGTGGGTCAAGGGTTAATGGGTAACCCGTTTTAGCCCGTTTCAGCCCGGAAATATGAAAAGAGTCATTATATTGTACTTATCCTGATAAATTATATCAAATCTCATCTAAAATATGAGTAATAACATATAACATTACACCAAAGTAACATGTCGTACTTAGATCCAACTGATATGCTAAAACACAACACCAAAGTGCGACCAAGTGTAATCGCAGTCCAAAAATGCAGTAAAGTGGCAAGTTCTAATTATCAACCCGGGGTCTAGATCTACTGCCTACTCCGTGAATATCTATTATCTAGCCAACTAAGTCGATTGATTTTTGTTTTAACTAAAAGCAGTAAGAAAGCAGGAAATGGTTCGGTTTTCTGAAGCAAAGGAAGAGTCACTCGGGAATGAGTCCCCCTAGCTCCTCAGTTAGGTCTCAGTTGTAATTACCCTGGGTTGATTTACTATTGATTAAACTGTGGAAGATCCGATAGTAGCTTGGAATCTCTTAAGATGACCAAGCCCTCTTAGGCAGACTAACTGGTAGGCGACTAAGCTTCACCGGGATAGACTGCTGAGGCAATAAGCACAGAAATCCACTACTGGAATTGAGTTCCAGTACAAAGCAGTAAATTGATTAATTCTCGTATAACCAATCTACCACTACCGAATGATGAAGCTCTAACAACCTAATAAGATTCTATCTATCTCAGGTTGCAGCAGAAATCAAGAAAAGATGATCAGACTTCAATTGATTCAATGAATCATGCATCATTTGATTAAAACCAAACAGTATAACAATCCCAAGTCATTAAAATCAAGATCCCTAACACATGGAACTAGGGTTCTTCATACCCAAGTGAGAGAGGGTTCTGCTCCATAGAGAGAGAGAGAGGAAAACAGCAAACAAAGCAGTCATACTCATCAAGATGGGAAGAATCTGCTCTGGGATGTCAATCTTCACTCCAAGGATGATTTCCAAGCTTGATTGATGAAACCCAGCTCCAAAACCGCTCTTAGGGGGTGTTCTTCGCACTTTCTCTCTCTAGGGCTCTATTTTTGCTCCAAAAAGTCGATTCCCCTCACCTTTGGCCCGTATTTGGGTTAAAACCCAGAAATTCCCGACCACACGGCCGTGTGGCTTTCCCAGCTGCCCGTGTGAGTTGTGCAAAACGCGGCGTTTCGATAAGTGGACTTCAGCCATCCTACACGGCCATATCCACACGGCCGTGTGGATTTCCAGGATGCCCGTGTGAGTTCCCTGGAATTTCCACACGGCCACATGGATTCCCTTGCATGGCTGTGTTGGTTTTAGGCATGCACGTGTGACTTCCTCAGCTTTTCGCCAAACGTCCGATCTCCGTCCAATAGACCCCGAACTCGTTCCCAAACCTTCATTCACGTACTAGGACCTGAAATATCATAAACACGAACAACCTAGTGTGAAATCGGCCTAAAACAAGAGAATCAACATCTCAAACGGCTCAAGAATAGGGTTAAAAACATGTGCAATTAACGGTCTATCAAACTCCTCCACACTTAACCGTTTGCTTGTCCCCAAGCAAACCTGACTCAAACCAGTACAACTCTCCAGACCTCTGTATCAACATGCAACCCCAATCATCAGCAGAGGATTTTCTGGATCATTTAGCAACTTACGAGGTCAACTGGTCTTCTAAAACGCCTCCTATCTCTCTCAATGCGAGTACTAGACTCAAGCCAGGATCATGAGAAGCGGTGGAACTAAGACATTCAATTCATGGATAAGGAGACTCACACAATTCAACAACCAAGGACTCATTGTATCGGGTGCTCTTTCATTTCATTTCACTTGTTGGAACCCCTTCTTCTTACTATTTGTTTTTTTTTTCTTTGCTGGGGTTCCAACTGCAGTTTGTATGCGCGATCTGCCCTTATTAGGTGAGCAAGAGAAATTTTTATACATCTGTCACTCGCTAGAGTACTTCTTTTAACTCCTATTCCTCACTTCGTGTGGAGGGTCAATGAAATTAAGGGGGGTCGGAAGCTCTATCCGTGCCCTTAAAAACACATCCTCAAGTAGGCAAACCGTTCAACGGGTGGAAATTTTACTTGTACTAGAGACAACTTAGCTTCACCTTGTAGGCCTACCCCACCAAGGATCACTAAAAACTCTTCCAAAACCCGATTTTGTGCAATGAACGGTGTCGCACACGTTGGGCTTACCCTATGTCCTAGAATTTTAAATTTTTGACATGGAGGACAAACTGCTTTTTTTCATTTCACACTTGAGCACCCTTTTTCGATACACGAGCCCACAACACAACATAAGAGGAGTCATCAATACCACATGAATCAACAGTCTTAAATCCACTAGTTCACAAAATCAACCGGCACAGCAGAGAGACATATAGGAAAAATCTTATACTTCAACATCATCCATAGTGCTACAACTACCTCCCTAGGTTGCATATCATCATAAAGACTGTCAATTCAAAGCATATTGAGCAGGATTTTGCAGGGAACAGTACTTGGAGCCCATAATTCATCAAATTGGACAGTGGACTAGGCTCCAAGCACACAAACTCATCTAGCATTCAAAGATAGATAAACACCCCACCACACTTAAGCACGACATTGCCCTCAATGGAGCAAGGGAAAGATAAGGGGGAACGATGTTACCTGAAATACGGACTTTCGGGGGACTGGAAATGGGACCAGTCAACAGGTCTAGAGTCATCAAAACACACTGGGTGATAAAAACCATAGTTCCAAGTGGACAAACCGAAAACAAACGAAGGAAAAACAAACCTTGGTGGGGTTGCCTCCCCACAAGCGCTTCTTTACCGTCTTTTAGTTGGACGCCAGTAGGGTGGATACTCAAAGAGGTGAAGGAACAGGTGCCTCAAAGAGCGGATCCACATCGCTCTTGAGGTACAACTTCAGATGGTGGCCATGCACACGATGGGTGTGACCACCAGCACTCGTCAACTCCACCTAGGCCTGTCTATTCGGTTTCGGGTTTTCGGTTTAACCCGAACCCGAACCAATATAAACAGAGTCGGTTTCGGTTTTTTCGGGTTCAACCCGATACACACAGCAGCGGTTTCGGTTTACCAAAACCCGCAAAACCGAAAAACCCGCAAAACCCGCAAAACCCAATAGCATCAGTCACGCACGCTGTCGTTTTGGCTTTTGATAGCAAGAGCAACCCTACCCTAGCCTTCAGCCCTTCCGTCGCCGTCTCTTCACTTTTGGAAAACGAAACAGAGGACAGAGCCTCCTCGCTTCAGCCCTTCACCTCGTGCCGTCGCCGCCATCATCATCCTCGCCGCGCCGCCATCATCGTTCCAGCCTTTGACAGGGAGGAATCCGCTTCACCACCATCAAGTATCAACTTCGCTCTTCGCCTCGCTCTTCCCCTGTTATTCTGTTCCTCCTCTGGGTTCGAAGCTTCTGGAGATTGGCGATTTCACGAGCAACTCCTCTGGGTTCGAAGCTTCTGTTCCTCCAACTGCAGGCACCGGCGGCCGCACAGGATACACTCCTACGACCAACCAAAGACGAAAACCAATTTCAGAAACAGGGGGATTGCGACAAAATAGACTTCAAAGGTTAACTCCAGACCTTCAATTCGATTGATATTAGAAGGATTGATCGGCGCGGCAAGCATCCTAACGCAGACGTCGTTCTCTTTCACTTCCATCGGCGGCAACTCAACCATCCTGAGCAACTCCCCTCGCTCTTCCCCTGTTATCCTAAATCACCGTACAAAACAGAGATGGAATCCCAGTAATCTCCTTTTTCATTCAACTTGGTATTACTCGGAGATGGTTGGAATTGCAATTTAGTAATTTACCCTTTGATGCTACCTTCATTAGAAATCGGACAGGGATGGAGCTAGAGCTAGATGATTCCTTTAACGGCTGTGTTGATTTTCTTTGTCGCAGGATCTGATTGCTTGTTGTTGAGTTGTTTTGGTTGTGGGTTGAAATGAAGCCTTTTCTCTCTTGTAACTGAAACCCATTTTGCTATTTCGCTCGTTTTGCTTAATCCTGCTGAACTGTTCAATTTCTTCTGTTTGTGCGTGCTTCTGCTGTTAATAGGTATTTGATCTCCCCCCATGACTTTGATCCTGCTTTGGTGAGGAACTAGGTTATGGTGATTTTGGTTTGAGGTGCGCTGAATTTGGCCTCGCTGTGTCTTAGTTGATTTCTGAAGAAGTTTGATTGAGTTCTGTTTCTGAAGATGCAGTTACGAGTCTTAACTGGTTCCTTTGCTAAAGCGTAGAAATGAAGATAAAAGGTGGATTAGGCGTTTACAGATTAGGGTGTTTGAGTTTTGGAAGGACAGATTTGAGCTTCCTTGGGTCCTTGAGAATGAATTGTAATGGAATTCTAGAGATTTTATGCACTTTTCAGCCTGTAAAGTAAAATTATAGGGAGTTTAATACAAGATGAATCTAGTGGTTTGATAGGTAGTTATTGCAGTTGAAATATCAATTAGAAGAATGATGACGAGGGGCCATCTTATGATCCATCCAAATTTCTACTGATGGGAATGAGTGGTCATTCTAAGAATGTGAAGCTTTCTTCGCAATGCAAGCCTCCTCTGCATTCTGCAACCCATCTTCCCATGTTTTCTTCTTCTTCTTTCTGGGTTCTGTTTAGAAAAAAAAGTTGTAAATGAATGTTGGGAGACAACTGGTTTCTTGGATTTGGCTTTTTATAGCATGGGAGTGAGATACATTGGAAAGGTGGGGATAATTGAATTTCCTAATAGTGTATTGGGATCTAATAGTGTCCATTTTCTATTCGTTACTGATACATGCTTTCATATACTAATAATTCCAAGCTTTAACTCAACTCAACTTTTCATTTTGACAGGGGAAGTGAGGCACCATCGGCTTCTCGTCCTAGACGTGGAGGACGCTCTAAGAGTACCAGCATTCCTGCTCCTGCACCGTCTTCCGATCCTGCTCCTGCTCCTGCACCGTCTACCGGTACCACCAATGTACCACTTGCTGAAACAATAGACGAGGAGACAATTTCAAGAAAAGGGAAAGAAAAGTCTGACGTTTGGCCACACTTCAAGCGTTTTAAGAAGGATGGGTTGGACAAAGCAAGATGTATTTATTGCAATGGTGTTCTTATGGCTCCCACTAAATATGGGACTTCTACTCTGCGGAATCATAAAGATAGTTGTTTGGAAAAGATACAAAAGGGTGAGCTGATAGTCGACCATTTATCATCTTCTGGAGGCCAGGTACACACTTTTGGGACTTGGAAATTCGATCAGATTGATGCTAGGAGAGCTTTAGCGGAGATGATTATCATAGATGAATTACCATTTAGGTATGTTGAACATGAAGGTTTCAAATGGTTTATGGCTCGTGTTTGTCCAATGTTTGTGTTACTTAGCCGTCAGACCGTTAGAGAGGATTGTATCAAGGTGTTCTTTGAAAATAGAGAGTTGCTGAAGGACTATTTCAAGACTAAGTTTTTGAGGATGGTATGTGCATTACTGATACTTGGACTTCTTTGTCCAATCTCAATTATATGTGCATTACTGCTCATTTCATTGGTAGAGATTGAAAATTGCATAAAAGAATTATTAACTTTGTCCAAGTTACAAAACATTCTGGAAGTGAAATTGGAAAACAGTTGGCTAGTTGTTTGGTGGAGTGGGGCATTAGGAAGGTGTTTTGTATAACTATGGACAATGCTAGTGTCAATGATGTGGTTGCTATGCATATGAGGGAATAGTTGAAAGAGTGGGGATCAGATATTTTGGATGGCAAGTATCTGCAGATGAGGTGTGTGGCTCACATTATTAATTTGGCTGTGAAGGATGGGCTTAAAGAAACTGGTAAATCTTTGGAGCGAGTGAGAGAATCTGTGAAGTGGGTTAAATCTACACCAACTAGGAGCTGAAAATTCAAAGATTGCATTGAGTTTGAAAAGATAGTGTCGAAGAAATTTGTTTCGTTGGATGTAGCTACAAGGTGGAACTCCACGTATCTGATGTTGGAATCTGCAAAGCCATTTGAGAAAGCAATTCAGACATTAGCTAGAAATGATAAGAAATTCAAGAAACATCTCAATGAAAAAAAATATGGAAATGAAAGCCTTGGTATCACAACTTCTGATGATTGGTCTAGTGTGGGACGGTTGATTGATTACCTGAAGATATTCTATGATTTGACTGTTCGAGTTTCTGGGACTTCATATGTGACTTTGCACCTCTTGTTTGATGAGGTATGTGAAATGTATACTATGATATCTGAGTGGGCTAATGGTATAGATTTTGAGGTGTCTTGCATGGCTGAGAGAATCAAGTCCAAACTTGTAAAGTATTGGTTTGAAGATAAGTTGGAGAATTCCAAGATGAATCGGTTGTGTTATATGGCAGTCATATTAGATCCTAGGCGGAAAGTTGAATATCTTGAACAAGCTTTGAAAAAAATGTATGGTGACAGCAGGGGTTAAGCTTTGGTCGAAGAGGTGAAAGATGAAATGCGTCTTCTGTTTGACCATTACAAGCATAGGCTCGGACTTCCTGGCAGTTCTCCCATTGTGATTCAGGAAGATGTGCAAGAACCTAGTGGAAGTGGGGATGGGAAGAAGAAAGGGAAGATTTGGGGTGATTTTAGGAAAATGAAAAGAGATGCCATTCTGAAAGGAACTAGAAAAAGTTCCAAATCTGAGTTTGATAGGTACCTTGAGGAGGAGGAGGATGATGAAGTGGTTACACGAGCATTGGTGGGTTCAGAAGAGGATGAATACAAGTTTGACATCTTGGGATGGTGGTCTCGAAGTGGGATGAAATATCCTACTATTTCTGAGATGGCTAGGGATATTCTTGCTGTTCCTATTTCCACTGTTGCTTCTGAGTCTGCATTCAGCACAGGAGGTCGAGTTTTAGATTCGTTTAGGACATCCTTATCCCCTGAATTTGTGGAGGCTTTGATTTATTGTGAAGATTGGATAAGATCTTCAGACTCCGAGTTGGTGGCTGATGGAGAAGATGAGGGTGATGAAGTGGTATTTCAAAATGGTAAGGACTTAATATTTCTCTTTATTCTTATATTTGTTATCTTGATCAAGTCATATTCTAACAAGTTGTTATTGTTTATGTTATCCAGTATATGCAGCTTTTCAAGCTCGGAGTGCAAGTGCACCTGCAGGACCTAGTGGAAGCTCTCGTGCAGGACCTAGTGGAAACTCTCCTACTACCCATGTTTTGGTCCCGAGTCCTACTATGTCACAAGTGGAAGAAGATTATGTCGACGTCAATTCTGATGAAAATGATGAGACTTATGTAGATGTAGAGCCTAATGAGGAGTGATAATGGTAGTAGTGTTTATCTTGTATGGTAGATGAATTTTTATTTTACTTGGATGTTATCATTTGAGAATTGTAAAACTAATGTGTTTAATTACGAGTTGAAGATAATCTCATCTATGATTGTCGTATTTTATGTTGAACAAAATTATTTATAATTTTGTGCCAAACACCAAACATTTTTTTGCATATGATAGTTGATATACCTTCAATTTTGGACCTATGGTATTACTAAAACATTTAATTATACGAAAATCCACAATTAAATAAGATATGATTAAGTTACGTATAAAATATGTTTAAGTATTTTACTTTGTCTCTAAACTACTAATACTCTTTAATAGTTAATAGTATGTCTATAGTTATAGAATACATAAAATTAAATATTTTAATAATTAACTAATATTTTAATAATAAACTAATATGTAAATATTAGTTTTATATTGTCCATGTCCCATAAAATTAAACATAATGGTAAAATAAGAATGTACAAATAATAAGAATAAAATTGTTTTACAAGCAAAAGAATGTAAAATTCAAATCACAAAAGTAAAAAAAAAAAAAAAAAACTCAGACCGGTTCGGTTTCAGTTTCACCCGTACCGAACTAAACTCGCCAACATCAATTTCGGGTTCCAGTACCCGAAACCCACAAAAGTGCAGTTCGGGTTCGGTTTCGGGTTGTGAGGGCGTGGGTTCGGTTTTTTCGGTTTTCATGGGTTTCGGGTTTGGTTACCCGAACCGACAGGCCTAACTCCACCTGGCCATCCGGCAGGATGCAAGCGAGTGAATACTCGAATGGCCAAGGTGGTCGAGGCTCAGGACGCGGTACCAGCTCATAGTGGTCTCCGGCTTTCTTGTGAGCAGGCTTAGCTACATGGAGTTTCGGCCGCCACTCCTCCCTGATCTTTTTCTTTGGTGACGGAGTGGACGGGAGTGGCGGCGAAGGTATGGGAGAGGGATCCTGCAAAATGGGAAGCACAGAAGGATACACGACAGACTCGTGCTCCTGGTGAGAAACAACATGCAAGGGCAATGAAGCAGGGAGAGTATTAGCAATGGAAAATGTTATTCGCTCCTCGCCATCCCTCAAAACTAAGGTCCCATCATGTACATCTATGAGAGCCTTGGCGGTGGCTAGGAAAGGCCTTCCCAGTATAAGGGGCACTTCTGTGTCCTCATTGATGTCCAAGACAACAAAATCCACAGGATAAAAGAATCTTCCAACCTTAACCAGAAGGTCTACCACTATGCCCCTATGATGAATTATAGATCGGTCAGCTAGTTGAATACTCATCCTAGTTGCACTGGGTTCACCTAGGCCTAGTTTCTTGAACAATTTATATGGCATCACATTAATACTAGCACCTAGATCCACCAAGGACCTCTCTACATGCAATTTACCTATAGAGCACGGGATAGTAAAACTACCTGGGTCCTTTTGCTTCTGCGGAAGCTTGTTCTGCAAAATGGCCGAGCACTCCTCGCTGAGCTCCATAGTGGCTAGCTCGCTCAGCCTCCGCTTCTTCGAGAGAAGCTCCTTCAGGAACTTCGCATACTTAGGCATCTGAGCTAGTGCCTCCATGAAGGGCACTTGAACATGTAGCTTCCTAAGCATGGACGAGAAGTTGCCAAACTCTGCCTCTAGCCTGTCTTTGTGAATCCTGGTGGAAAAAGGGAGCTTAGGCTTATATTCAGCCACTACAAGTTGTGGCTTTGGAGCTGGATCCTCTGGCTCCTTTTCCATCACCGTGTCTTCTTCCGGCTCAGGGGTGATCTGGGTCACCTTCTTGGCACTCTTCTGCGGTGCATCCGCAGTCACTGTCCCACTTTGCAGCATAATGGCGTGCAACCCTCCCTATGATTTTTAGGATTCGGTAGGGGTTGGCTAGGAAGTGTGCCAGCTGGTCTGGAAGCAAGGGCATCTGCCAGGTGCCCGATCTTGGTATCCATATCCTGCAGGAGTGCTTGCTGGTTTCTCTAGCCAGCTTCAATCTCCATGAATTTGCCTCCAGCCACTTACATGAATTGCTCCAATTTATTGAACTTTTGGATACTAGTGCTTGCCAAGGTAGTCACTAGATCCCTCAGTTCGGACACGGGATCGCCCGGTACTGGGACTGATGGAGGTGCACCAGGTTGCTGGTACTGCTGCTGTGGAGGCTGTTGAAAAGCCTGCCCCTGTCTGGGCTGATAGAGTGGTTGTTGTTGCTGCATCTGGCCTAGGCGAAGCTGGTATGACTGCCTCTGGTTTGGAAAACTAGTGGCAGGAGCCTGGAAGCTAGGTGCCTTTGGATTGCTGTTGCCACTCCAGGAGAAATTTGGATGCTGGCGCCAGCCCTCATTGTAGGTGTTACT